AAAAAAAAAAAAAAAAAGGCCAGCGGCTCACTAGAAACTACATCCCTGTCCCCAACCAGAAGCTCTAGGGAGGGGGCCAGTCCTAAAACCTACACCTCACAATGGTTTCCTTTAATGCTTAGAACCCTATAGGCCCTTTCAGATCTGGGCCCTGCCTCCTGCTTTCATCTCAGATAAACCTGATCAGAATAGAGCCTGTAGGGGTTCCAAGACCACCCTCTCATTCAGCCTCCTTCTCAGAGTCTCAGAGACTCCTCCCCCGCCCAGGTCACCTTGGTTACTTCCTCCACTCGAGCTTCGGGGAAGCCCGCCTCACCCCAGACTGGGCGGAGTGATTACCCCTTCCTGGCCTCCTTCTTTGCTGTGTGGCCTCTTTTACCTCCCTCCCCCACAATCCCAACTCGTTTCCGGAGGGCTTCGATAGTGTTAGTGGTCTGTTGCGGGGATCTCAGGGAGGTTTCTAGGACCCAACGAGCCCAAACCTGACTTCCAGGCCTGGGTTTTCCAGGCGGCGCCCAGTGCCGGTGGGAGCCGCCGGATCAGCGCGGGATCGCTGGCGAGGAGCCGGGGTCACTCGTGTGTGCAGTCTCGAGTCGCGCCCGGCTTCGTCAAGTCCCGCGCGGGCCCCCTAGCTAGCCCACTCGTCCGCCGCGGCTTCCACGGTCCGCACCACTAGGAGCGCGCCCCCCCGCCAGCTGCGCTGGAGCGCTCATGCTCCAATCCCCCGCGCATCGGCTCCTAATGAGAACATAATTACCCAGATGGAGAGGGAGCCTCACCCGGCTCCTTAATTGTTGCCTTGTTGGGTAGGGGGTGTATGTGGGGCGGAGCGAAGGGGCTGGACGCTCCCGCTGGTTCCGGGCGGGGTCCCTGACGTCCCAGGCCGGGTCTTTGGGCCCCCGCTGACCTAGTGGAGGGAGAGACCCCGCTCAGCGGACGCGCGCCCGACTCTGCGCTTGGCTTGAAGTGCGATCTCAGACTGCTCTCCCCGCCCTACACCCCCCACCGCCTCCCTGTCTGAACAGTTTTCCTCAGCTCCCAAGTGCGGTGTTTAGGGTTTGTTCGGAGACATCTTTTGTGATAAACGCGTTCGTGAGTCTAAGCCTTCCCCCCTCGTCCCATGCAGCCATGTAACTCCAGGCTTGCGCTTGGCCGAGTCCTTGTCATCCCCACTGGCTTTCAAACAAAACTGAAACGTATTACGGACTCTGCCTCTGCAGGAGGCCAGCAGTGCCCTGGAACTGGGAGGTCAAGCCTGGAGGGAAAGCGCAGATGCACCTCTCTTTGAGCCAATTTAATTCGGAAGAAAATCTTTCCCAGGGACGATTACAAAGGTCTCTCGATCTCTTCGCGCAGAGCTCCTCATTGAAGATACATCCATACCCTCTCTGAGCCTCAGTTTGCTCATATTTGAAATGGGAACAGTAATGCCTTCACAGCAGGGTGGTTGCGAAGACTACCTGAAAAGGTGTAAAAATGCTCGGCGCTGCCGCACCCACAGTAGGTGCTGAATAACTGGTGGCAACGGGGGGGGGGGGGCAGTGGACAGCTGGGGCATCAGAGTATCACAGAAGCAGGACATAC